ATGCCCTAATTTGGTGTCCAGAGAACAATCGATTATTTGTAGGCAATGCAAATTCCGCATTGATCAGGGTAACTTGACTAGTTAACAAGTAGCAAGCAGTGTGTGTCTCCCCTTTTTCATAAAATATTCAAAAATAGCAACGCAAAGCAGCTTTGTCTCACGTGCAGCTTATTCAGAGGAAAACTTGGATGTTGAGCAAACTTGATAAGGATCCAGGATCCTCGAAGAAATATTATCTATAGAATTCATCCTTTGCTTCCAACCATATAAAGCCTATATCGGCAAACGGGGGATAAATCAGGACCGAAAGGCTGTGGATTATGAATATCGATGACCCCAGTGTATCAAGCCAAATATGAAAAAGATACATTAAAAAATGAAATGGGTTTTAACGTCCAACTGTTCTGCTAAGAACGGGCTAATACGGTGTGCTATGACGCAACTTTGGCCTGGGCAGTGATGCTACGACCTACCCTTATATCGAATTCCCACTGCCAAGGGATCTTTTACGTGCACAATTTCGTCTCATACGTTGTCCCTTGATAGGCCCTCTCGCCTGCACCACTGACAAGGAGAAACCCCGCCCGATAATCGAGATGCACTCTCTCGGTCAACACCTATGAACTTTCTCGGTCAACGCCGGAACCCAACAGCGTAACGGAAAGTAACAGTATACTGAATATAATTAGTGTTTGTCTTCTCATAACCACAATGATTCACGCCAAATTTAAAACAGAAATCCGTCAAAAATGGTAACACCCTCTATCGCATTCACAAGGCAATTGTTGACGGGCGGACCGAATGACTGTATGACCACATAATGCGTCCAGACTGAAATTAGGGCGTATATAAATAAAGCGCAGTTAATCTATGAGTGTGAGTGCTTTTCATTTCATTGTAACGTACAAACTGGACTATTCTCAATTGTTTCAGATCTTGAGTTATACTGCCAGACGACCAGAACAGCTTCACTTTCAGATCCACATTTTAAGATCGCAATTAATTTATTTGATTTTTGTATGGTATGTATTTTCATTTTCAATTGTATAGTAACAGTTTGGATAATTATGTCAGATGTAACGTAGGTTTTGTTTTAACTTACCCCGCACAAACCGGCAATGACTCGGATTATGTAAACATAGATGACGTTTTGACCTGCAGCCAAAGGTGTCATCAATGTGACGATTCCAGCTAGCATTATTCCAATTCCGATAACAATTCTAGGTCCAAACTTTGAGGATAACCAGCCACCAGGGATTTGTAGAACCAAATATCCATAGAAATAGGCACTCAATAATCCAGTTTGGGTGGTTATATCCCAGTTCAAAGTTCCTTCCTGAAAAGTAAATTACAATGGACATTCTTCTGTTAACTGCCAATAACTCAACTATACAAGCTAAATTATTTCACACACATAATGAAACATACATTTACACTGCATGTCAGTTGTCCACCTTTCCACTGGACCGGTCATAATTTCTATTAGGCTAAGCGCTACAGTTCAAAATACATCGCAGGGCAAGGACGGACTAGGGGGTTCGTACCCCTACCATTGAGGGGCTCCGTGTTTTTTAAAAACTGGTTGTAAATGGTGCTTTCTAGCGTATATCATGAGTACCAAAGCCCAAAGACTGCTTTATTTACAAATTAATCAAAAATGAATTAAATTCAAGACTAAAATATGCCTCAAACTACGCGAGATTTTTAAATTCTTTATGGGCCCTGGTCCTATAGAATACTCACGACCCCCCTCCTCAATTCATCTCTATTAAAGGGCCATTAAATCAAATAACACAATTTTCAATAGAACTAGTGTAGTTATTTATCCCGTGGAATGCTCATGGTGGATTTGTTTTTAATTCGGCGAAATTGTTCAACGGGGCACCTATTTGATGCGTAATGTTTTGACCATTAAAATTAGTAGCCGTGTGTGTTGTTTTTTGGGGGTTTTTTGTTTACGTAGATCCAAATTACACTACAATAAAGAATAACATAAAATTTTAAGTTAGTTGGCTTCAGTCATTCATTCAAATGACAAGAAAAAAAATTGTGTTGCCATTGTATGGTAACTTACATCAGATCTAGATGTTGACTGGTTATGTAAATATGAGTTTGAAGAGTTGGTTTGATTGACCATACATACAATAGAAACACTGAGATTAGTACGTAAACTAAAGTGTGCCATGGTTCCTATAAATAGAATATAAGCCAGTTTCCATCTTTCACTCCAATAGTAAGGGACTGAAATAAAAATTGAATCAATTAATTTGCATACATGTGACTGAGGTATATACTGTAACAATAAAGACCCCGTTGCTATATTTTGTTTTTTGCTGGACCCTCTGTTCTGTAACTGAGTTAATTTCCTTCGTTGTTTTGCATGTAATGAAAGAAATGAAATGAAATGGCGTTTAACGTCTCACCTTTCTGCACCGATTGGGCTAATAAAGACGAGTGCAACGAACGAACATGGACGTATGTCGCGGTTGTAATGAATTGATGAATTTTGCGAAAAGCTTGTGCCTGAAAAATAAATACCGTCATTTGGACCGTTACACCTAAATGGCGGTTGAGTTTGAATTTGATGAACCTGTCGGACAAAATGGCCGCTTTTTGTACGCAAATAGTCTAAAAGTACGTAATACCAAGGTTGTGGACCCTCTAGAAGTCACAGTTTTTATCCGATCTTGATGACACTTAAAACATATGCTTGTATCCAAACGATCTCGGTTCCTTTCGATATTCATGCACATCGAGCTCCTGATTGTACAAAAAATCGCGTTTTTGTTTAGCTTGTTCTCTGTCCATCTCTTGCAAAATGTGGGCGTATCTTACCTGGCAACCGCTGGTTTCCTTTCTTATCACAATAAAATATCGGATACATAGGCAATCGAACATAAGTTATTCTACAAATTTCGATATACCCCAAATAAATAATTCTAAAACTCTTACCAATAAACTGTGGTTGCATAATATGGACAATAAATTTCCACATTTTTCGTCCCATTCGAATTATATAAGTCATTTCACCTACCTCTTGAATTAACGTCTTCATTTCCCTCCTCATTTTTCAGTAATGGCGTTTTTTCACTAGCCATTTTAAGAAATTGTGGTTTTTTTTATTATTATTAAACAACACTTTGGTTATATCCAGAGAATAAGATAAAACTGCTTCCTCGACTCATACTTGGTTTGTGGATTAATCAGTACGCTAATCATAATACGTATACATGTAAATAGAATAACAATGATACCTGTTGATATATAGTCGGGTGTATTTTAATATGACATTTATACAATAATATCATCTTCAACACCACAAAATATCAACAATTATACTCCTCATCTTCTCTACACTAAATATTAACTCCTAAATGTAATATAACAACATTCAATATAAACCGTTGACCCTATCATGACCTAATCAACAATTGACAGTAAGTAAAAATGAGTAAGATGAACCAGTTCAAAGGAAAATGTAATTATACTCAGCTTGCTACATCACTAATCGAAATAGCACGTCAAATCATTTTGACCTAAACCGAAGCGTTTATGCTCCTGGTCTATGACAAAGTAAACAGGGCCGGGTAACTTCAACATTTTAAGCCAGTCAACAGCTTCAAATTAATTAAAAAATATATTCGATTATACGATAGATAGAGACAATGATAATTATTCTCTTGTATCCTATCCATCTTCACTTATGTGTGTTGATATGAACAGCGGGGAAATAATACTTCTTAAGCATAGGAATAACTTAAGTCGGTTTAATAAGAATACAAATTAGTATACTTTAACGTGACAAAGGTGTGATTTACCTGCCCTATATCAATCACCTGTATTAAAACAAAGAAAAAAAGAACTCGACGGTTATATTAATGTAACTATTGTCATTGCTATGGCGTGTTATCTGATAACGATCTGTTGTCAATATGGCAAGTAAAACTAGGATACGACGGTCAAACCTCTTCAGATGTCATTTTATTTATGAAGCATTCATTTATACGTCATAGGGGGCTGGATGACCGAATGGTTACCGCGTACGCGTTGTACCATAAGGTCTGTCATTGAGTCAGCTGGCGTGGTTTCCATTCCCCTGCTGTATTCGACAAGGAGTGAGGTCGCCTGTCCAACCTCGTGGGTTTTTTCCGGGTGCTCCGGTTTCCTCCCACTGCTAAAGACCCCTACGCGCAAGCGAATTATTCAAAGATAATTGAACCATATGCTAGTCCCGAAATGACCTAGTTTGTGTCGAGTGGACGTTAAACCCCATCTCTCTCTCTCCCTTTATACGTCCATTTTTTATTGTGGATGTATATTGTCGTCACCTGCACACACCTTTTCAACTGAGTATACGGTGCTACTCAAATTTGAACATGCCCGCAATGTATAGTTTCCTTGCAACCGACGAAAGTCCCACCTTGCACTACATCCTCTTTTAAACATGATTTGTTAAACTTTTCTTATTCACTGTTTGACACTGAATGAGGTTAAATGTTACTTGAACTTTGAACTGTGAATAAGTAGATAAGTGGGTCATAAGTGTACAAATTGGCGTGCTAGTAAAAGAACTCATAGCACACTGCATGGTATCCCCGTCTTCATTAGCCTAGTTGGGCAGAACAGTAGGAAGTTAAGCCACATTTCATTTTATTTCATTTCATTGTGTGATCAAGTTCAATATATCCATTGACTACCATAAAATACGAAATAAAAATAATGATTTTCCTCCTTAAAGATGCATTATGTAAGAGCTAAAGTTGCCAATTGCAGGTTTTTATTTTGGGTTGAAATGTTATATAAATTTTTATCTATTATTCGTTAAGAAAAGGTAAATTAAATTAAATTTTCAATATATTCATTTTTCATTATCTATTTTTGAACTATTATAGCAAGAACGGTCAGCTCTATATCTAAATATTACGTAAGGGATCTTTAATCAATATGCAAAATTAATAATATATAAACAAATAATAACGATTTTTTATATAGTAAAACACCTTTATAATTAAAATATATTATTAATACAAATGAATATAAAAATATAGCAATGGCAGTATCAAATATACAAATTGGCAGTATCAAATATACAAATTGGCAGTATCAAATATACAAATTGGCAGTATCAAATATACAAAATGGCAGTATAAAATAGATGTGTTCTTTAATATAATAAATCTACAAAGTAATAAGCTGTAAAGGTAAAGTCGAAGGCATGTTTGGGGCTCAAAAACATCTTATAAATATTTAGATTTTATCAACAGACATCTTATCCATATAGGTCTATAGTCTGTTACACTGATGATAATCTGAGCGAATGATGTCTAGTTTTACAAGTCATATGGCGTGGTTTTCCCCTTGTCAGTGGTAGGGCATACAGGGCAGAGGGCCTGGCACGGGACAATGTATAATCGTTCGGATGGGACGAAAAACCGAGGTCACGTGTACATAGGCCTATATATTGGCCTGCATATTTTTGACTTAATTCACGCTAATTTCCATTTCATTTTTCTATCAAATAAATCAATTATTTCCAAACTTGTCCATAAAGTAAAATTCTCGACGGCGCCTGATTTTTTTTAACCTTTTCGACTTTAGCTGATAATACATAGAATGGATTGTAGGCATCTGAATTGTGATAGTTAGAACTATCGTCAATGTTAAACATAATTTATGCAAGAGATAAATCTGTCTATTGCAGTTCTTGCTTTAGGCCTGAATTAACCTATCCAGACCATAATCAACTCTAGATAGCATCGCTAGCCTGCGATCTTTAGTGGATTATGAGCCGATTTACTGCATAACTTTCCTTCAAGATTTAACGATTAAATGGATAATCGAGACTATGCTGTTTATCGTACTGACTTTAGTAATGATGATCAAGGCTATCCGGAAATTTCAACCACTTAGTTCTCGGTTGATAGTGGATCAATTTGAATGAAATTGCCTTTACATTATCCAGTTTTTAACCAATATAGCGAGAACTGCAAACTCGTTATCGAATCTCCCATAATGTATCTTTAATAGGTTTAAGATAAAATTAACTATAGAATCATATTTTATGAATATCTGGATATATATATTTACAACTATCGTCAAGATTAATATAAGAGTTTTTAAAACCTTCCTCTTCTGTTTCTAGAGTATTTAACGTAATGGGTATATCAGTAACAAGGCTGCTAAAACTTGGTCTACAACCCGGATCAGCTTGCCAACATTTCTCCATTATAACATACCTGTATGGAAAAATAACATTATGAGACTGTTGAAAATATTTACTTCTGGAAAAACTCTTAACTATGATAATATACTGAAATATTAAAGGAACTATACCGTGATTTTTCGAAACTGTATAAAACAAACAATAAACATGTTGCATGTTAATTGGAAAGATATGTGCCATCGGTTACATTCACTGTATGTACTTGAAATATTTAATAGCCGTTCCAGTTTCATTATTACAAATTATAAAGGGATATAAATATATGAAAATATAAAGGGATTTAAATATATGAAAATATCAAGGAATTCAAATATATAAAATTATAAAGCTATTCAAAAATTATAAAGGGATTTAAGTATAGAAATAATAAAGAGATTTATGAAATTATAACATATTGGGATTGATAGTTTCTTTTAATGATTCCTGTATGCTAGGTATCTTAACATTTTTGTAAAATCTCAAATTATACCTAAGATCAGTTTCTTTGTAAAGGGTAACAGGGTCGAAAAATTAATACAGGTATAACTTACATTTCTATTGGACAATATTCTGGTCTGGCTAATCTTCTACCTGATAATAAATATCGCTGCATATCCCACATATCGACATCAGAATAAGGGTTAACTCCCCTGGTCATTAATTCCCACAATAAAACTCCATACGACCACTGAAATAATGGGAAATGTTATTAGAGCAAAACATCGCTTGATCATCACCACGGCACAAAACATATTTGAATTTAAAAATACAAAACTTTTGAAAAATAGGGATGTCAATGTTGATTTGTTTGTGCGTATCTGAATCCGAATATTGCATTCAATATCATCGGCTACACCACCCAAACCAACAAAAAGCTCAAAATTTACACATTTCAATCAATTATACTGTTATTTAGAGGGTCGGCCATTCCAAGGCCTTGATAAATTTTTACTGGCTGTTAGGAGAGACGCCGCCGTGAAACTTTCTACCTTGGTCATTTCTTGATCGCTCCAAAGTTATTTTCCTGAATTATGAGATTGGACAAACATTGCGGATTATTTAGCGAACCGAATAAATTATCAATCAGCGAATTTTGAAGCAAAATCCCATGATCATTTTCAGATGAACCCGAGTGACACACGGTTTATCTATAATAAGATGTTCTTACCACATCGGACATAGAGGTAAATGTCCCTTTTTGTATACTTTCTACGGCCATCCATTTTATAGGTAATCTTGCTTTATGATCTCTACAACTATAATATTCCTGGGCATAAACATCTCGTGTTAAACCAAAATCAGCAACTTTAACACGAAGGTTAGCATCCAACCTATATTTACATTCAAAACAAGTCATTAACATTTAATATAAAACTGACCACTATTACAATAATACATGTACTTCACTACACTAAAACCCAAAAATATATTATTATTTGAATACAGTTAAACCTTTTCAGTCGAACTTTTATTTATTCGAGAAAGTGAGAGTTAAATAAAGGCGTTGTTAGGAGCTAATTTGACAGATAGAATTCGAAATAAGAGTAGGTCGTAGCGCCGCTGTTCGGGCAAAATGGCTCTTATATAGCACACAAAATCTATTATGATATAGTTAACCTTTTTCCTCATACTTATCCCTCTTTAGATAAATCTGGTGATCACGGTGGTCTAATTCCTACATGAAAAAATGTATATGTATTTTATTTGGTATCATTGTAATATACTTACATACAGTTTCGAGCAGCTAGATCACGGTGAACAAATTTAGACTTAGCCAAATAATCCATTCCCTTTGCCACATCAACCCCAAACAGTATCAAATCTTTAATGGTTGGTTTCTGAAATAAAACAATCAAAATTTATTATATTTCGGTCATTATGGTCTCTACTATATTATTAACACATCGCATGCATATCAAGGAAATCGCGCTTTTAAATTCTTAGCATACTAACATTGCCAGGGTTCCGTATATAACTGAGAAGATCTCCATTTTTCATGAAAGGTAAAACGACATATGGAATGGCTTGGTCTGCTAGACATACACCCATCAGTTTTAATACATTCTCGTGGCTAAAATCCTTCATAATCAACGCCTCCTCTAAAAATGTGTTTAATTCTTTCTCATCTGGTGTCTTTTCTGAAATGTAACAAAATGGCTTATACACATTGCATATCATTATTTGTAATAACCAAGGATTTTTGTTGTCAGCCACTGGTGTGCAAATCACGGGCTCGACCCCTGTGTTTCTCGAGAAATTATTCAGGATTTTTCAGGTTAATCCCCCTTGTCATTGGTGCAGGGCGGAGGACCTGGAAAGTCGTTCGGGTGGGATAAAACTAACGAGGTATCTTGTACACGCAGTCGTACACCTATAGTAACCCTCGGCAGTTGGAATTCGATGTAGATTCGGCGGAAACACCGGTGTCGGGGCAAAATATGCCTTATAGAACACTGCATGGCGTATTTATTGTATGACAACATTATGACAACAAGGTTACAACGTCATCGTTTGGGACATACAAAGAAAGTACAAGACTTCTTTCGAAATGAACGTCAATTCCCTGTTGATTGGAAACAACACTCCTGTATGGTTATTTATAAATTGTTGTCTATGTGCAGACGACTGGAAACCAGTATAGGGCACGAAGTTTTATTATTATACACAAGAGTCGCTTTTAACTAACAACATTTATTTTCTTTCTGTGCTTTAGGTCTATAATATTAAACTTTTGGGGCAGTCAGGTACAATCTAACTTGATTTCGTCCATAATAAAAAGAAATCGCATTAAGGCATTAAACGATTGATAAGTAGAGAATGTCAACTTACGTTTTAATGTTTTAATCGCCACTTCAATGCTTTCAGTTCCAGCATCACTTTCTGGGTTTAAATAAGTCCCTCTATACACACATCCAAAATTACCTACAAGTATAATTATACTTTTTATAACCATTAGGATTTGTTATAAATTGATAACAGTCATTGTGTTAGCAATGATACTCTTCTAATTGAGGGGGAATAACTGACTTAACCAACAACAAAAAAACTGTCGTATACAAGGTATACAAGAATTTGATATGTTTGGTTCTTCAGCATTTTACTTCCTATAGAAACAAACTGCTTTCAGAATACAGAAACAAACTCTTCCCAGTACACATAAACAAACTGGTTCCTTTATACAGAAACAAACTGTGCCCTTTGTACAGAAACAAATTGCTTCCTTTATACAGAAAAAGGTTGCTTCCTTTATAAAGAAACAATTTTTCCCAGCACATAGAAACAAACTGATTCCAGAATGCAGAAACAAACTGATTTCTGAATACAGAGAAAAATGTTTCCAGCTCACAGAAACAAACTACTCCTAGCAAACAGAAACAAACTACTCCCAGCATACAGAAACAAACTGCTTCCGGCAGTTATGCAGAAAAAGATTGCTTCCAGAATTCAAAAACTGATTCCAGCACACAGAAACAAAATGCTTTCAGCACACGGAAACAAAATCCTTCCAGCACACAGAAACAAAATGTTTCCAGCACATAGAAACAAAATACTTCCAGCATGTAAAACTAACTCACCTTTTCCGATTTCTTCTTGTATTATAATATGTTGTTGATGAATAATCAAATTGTCTTTTTGGAATATTGAGAGAGTAGAGCTAGTTAATCTGTCAAAAGATTGCGTATCTGTTAAAGAAAACGATATATTACTGATTCAACTTAAACATAGCCTACATGCCATGGTACAAGATGAAAACTCAATGGTGATGCGTTGTTTTTTGTTTTACTGATCAAGATATGTCAATATCAACAGAACTGGAATATTTTAATAAAATGAAAATGAAAACTTTTTGTTTAACAAAGAAATACAACGGATAAATTAATAAAAAGAGTAGGGTGGAGGTAGAAAGCTTAGCATAAACTTGCTTATCAGGAGTAAATCATTCCAAAGGCATATAGCTAATATTTATGCATGTGTTTGGTTTGATGCTTCAAAATTGCGTAGCACAATTAATTGTTAGTCTATGAAAGTCGATAATACTAAAAGGGGAATTTTAAATGCGGAATTTTCTGAGAGTTGTGATTATCTTACCTATATCATCCAGACTGTTAAGTGACTGGGACATATCATCGTCAACACCGGTGACTCGAATGTCAGGGATTCTGTAAACAATAGTTTTTTGAGACATAAACCCGTTTTGGATATTTCCTTTGTGAGAACGCCAGTTTCTGATGAAGATGATTGCGATGATGATGATTATAATAAGTAATACTGGAACAAAAATTAGCCACCACAAACTGATGATTTGTAGAGCCATGTCCATAAACTGTACAGTACCAGGGTAGAATTCCAGATTTCCTATGACCACCTGAAAAAAAACCAACAAAAACCCACCAGAGGTTTCTAGCTAGCAAGACAAGAAAACGTTCCCAGTTACATTTAGTCATACCTTCATAAGGTCTATCTGGTACACAGAAACGATTCCGAATAGACTTTGAAATAATGCATGTACAGCGTAGTAAATGGCAAATTGTTATATACAATAATCTTCCTTTTCTTTTTAAAGTTTAAAAAAAAACGTGAGTTAAAACAAATATCCTTAAAGCCACATCAAATTGATTTTCTATTCTTTGGGGTGTGGATAACTAAATAGCCACTTGAATCATGTGAAAGATATTTTATTTAAAAAAATTTGAAACTAAATGCTTTTTGAATAGAAGAACCAAGTATTTCTGATTTTCAATTAAGTCTTTTTCCTGAAGAAATAAGAAAGAAAGGTTTTACAGGATGTTCCTGAAGAATAGAAAATCATATCAGTGTGGTCTAACAGTAGAATAATGATCATCTTAAATATTAAGGGAAATTATACCCTTCTTCTCCAGGAAAATAGGCACTGCCATGGGTCAAAAGAAATGTCAATTTGATAAGGAACTCTTTTGGTTTCGAAGTGCTACATAAATATTTACAGACCTGGCTGTTCATAGTAATGTTTTAAGTGATATAAGTACAATATAGTTTTTACCTTGACCGGATGTTTGGTATCATTGAAAATAGAAGTATAATATAATGTACAAATCATCGTAGTATTTCTCAGAGATATGACACTACACACCATAGGCCTATCTCCAATCATAATATTTACATCTTCAACATTAAATCTTGATGATAAGTTAGCACCCTAGAAAAAATAAATAGTAACATAAACGAAAATACACAATAAAATGCTAGGTATACGAACCAAAACTTCAAAATGGTAATGGACATATTGGTGGGTGGGGGTGGATGTAGGTGTGGGGGCAACGAAAAGGGCACACAATTTATTTTGCCGGGGGGGGGGGGGGTTCTTGGATTCGTCCTTGAATTTAAAATATGTTCCATATCAGAATGTGAAATATTTTGTGCAATATATTCCAGAACACAATCCGTATAAAATATCTAGTGGTGATTGAATAAAAAAGATTGACGGAAAAGAAAACATTTGCTTTCCGGGCTTAGTTTTTTTTGTCTTTCTTTACTAATTTTTCCTCTGTGTACAGTCTGTGGAAAGTCCAAGCTGAGTATATGATACGGCTTGATATTAAAGGAGCTAAATCTCTATTCCTTGGTAACTAGAAATGGACACAAATGGGTCGCAACGCATATAATAATGTCATATGAATGCATATAAACTGATTTACATTAAATTGTTATTACTGTAATTTCTAATCAGTAATGTTCGGCGAAATACGCGAAGAGTCCAAATTGAATGGCAGTCTTTGACGTCTGGTTAGTCCAGTCTACACCGGTAGTATTCTCTTGTGGGATATATTTAGCCTCGTTCGTCGAGTCGCTTCATTACAAATGGGGCTCGAAAGCATTCTGGCACGCGATTTTTGTGCCAATTATAAAATTTTCATTCTGTCTTAAATATTGGATCTCCCAGAAGCCCACCTTTTCACCGCAAGATAACAAAATCAGTGTTGACTGAAATTAATCAATAAGTCGTGTTTGTAATGTGGATGATATTGAGTTGGGGACTTGCCTCCTTTAAGGGCATTGTGCCAATGATTTGAATGAAAGTACTTTTAAACTCTAATTCCCAAACTAGTAACTTTAAGAATGATTGTCATTTTAGAATTTAGTCTATAATGAGAATGAAATACTTAATAAGAGTATTAAAATTGTATTGCTGAAATCAGAAATCGGCCAATTTTGATAAGACGGTGTGCATTTATCAATTTTCCAGTCTTTGAAGTGGTGAACACTCCTTACTCTTTACACTACTCTGGTCCCGTTCTTCCTACTTATATCGCCACCCACCACATCCATACCTTTAATATTTCCTGAATATGTTATTGATAAATAAAAACTTACTAAAAACTCAAGATTAACAGATTGTGCATTTTCCACCATTAGCGTTTGGCTCCCATCTTGAAATGGGAAGATAACGGGATCCGATAAAAAGGTTATTATTTCGCACGTATGTTCATTGGTACCATCTAGTTTAAAATGTAGTTTCAGTTCATCTGAGTTGGTAGTTGTTGGTAATGAAGGAACTGTACATATCATAGATAATCCATCTGGTTTTGTGTAACATGGCTGAAATAACATTGTATTATTGTAATATGCAGTTCTCAGCAATGGTACTTTTACAATTTTATATTACCCGTGGCAAAAACAACAGCATCCCATCAGAAGACCCACAGAAAAAACATGGAGCTCCAGATCAGAACTTCCACATAAACATATCTATCGATTAAAAGCCCAACAAAACAAACTCGATTTGAAGAGTGTGAAATAGCTTTATTTAACGTCCGCTTCCACCGAAGTGATATCGCAGACAACTTCGATCTGAAGTCCCGCGTACGTTTTATACCCCTGAATCGAGATCATGATAAAATATGGCTGTGCTGTGAGCTACAAGTATATCCGCCCAAGTTTGATACGGTGTTCAGGTGGGTGGGTGCAGTCCTAAATTCATCCCAAACTTAGGCTGCCTGTCCTAAATTTTGTCTGGAGAGCGATAAGAAATATTCTCAGATATAGAATTCTCTTTTTGGGTGGCTTACTCTGCATCAACTATCTGGATGAACTAACCTGATATTGTTTTGAGATATTATTATAAATTAACATCGGATCAGCAACTGAGTTCAGATTGGTACCAAACACAGTTAATGGCACCCCACCACTACAAATATAGCATTATAATAGTTAATAAAAAATATATAATATATTCATAATAAGTATAAAAAGCCAAGGGATGAGATGTGTTCTTGATGCTATAGCAATTTAGGTTATTTAGATGATTGATTAAAAACAAAATACAGCTCGATCTCGATTGTCAGATGACCGGTATAAGACCGTTGAAGTTCGACTAAAGTGATTTTTATTGTCTTACAGCTAAATTATACAAGTTAATTATATCCAACCAACGCGGGAGTAAGAGTTTATGTCAATGAATATTGTATTGCATAAATTCAAAGGGTAGTGTCATGCCAGAATAGAAATCGCCACACCATAACACTCACCTTGAAAATGTTGTTTTCGGCGAGATACCGGTTATAATAGGATCTGGTAGATATTCAAATTGGTATTTAGAATCAGACCTAACAGTTCCATTGTCAATATAAAACCGTAGAAAAGTCTCTGCTGTTGTTTCTTCATAACTACCGACATCGCTTCCGGTCGAAACTGCTGAAGTTTTACATTGTAGCATATCATACGAAAACCTGCACCAAACAAATTGCAACAGCTAAAAATGTTTATATATATTTTAAGCATTGTTTATAAGTTTACATGTATATAAACTATTTTTAAAAGTGGTATTTAGAAGTTGCTATGATAAAAAGAGATACAAATTTATATGGATTAACAACCTTCAGTATAGTTTATTTCAATGTTTAAACTGCAGTAATGTAGGTAACCACGCTAATCTTGTATCTTAGTCGCACATGGCTTTAAAAAAAAAGATCTTAAAACAAAATCTTCGCTAAAAAAAAATACGTAACCTACTTAACTATAATTCAACATTTCTTAATGATTCCTTAACCTTATTGTTAAACAAATTCTGAAAACTTAAAAAGCCATTAAAACTTTTGGGTGTTTCGGCCCATCTGTAAAAAAATAATTTTAGATTTGATCTGATTTGACTAAATGTTTACCATGTCCAGATTCAAATTAAATTGTATGCAAAATCTGGGACAAATTTGCCTATCCATCACTAAGATACAAACTTTATAATTGACCGATTTACGAGGCACACATATTTTAGTGGTTTTCAATAAATTTAACGTACGTTCGCGTAAAATACTTGGGGGAGGTGGTGGGGGTAAATCTAGGGTTATATTTAACTTATTATACGCAATAAATTACATTTCTTTTCTTGCTATGAGTTACACTAACTGATAGTTACAGATCATATATTATTAGATATGTACCACCCTTACTTCATTATACACTATACACCACAACATAATATACACTTACTGTAAGACTTGGCACTCGTGACTTCCTATCATAATATATCTACTAATACCAATATTTAAATGTTTTCCTCTTAGAGTAATAGTAGTTCCGCCGGATATTGGGCCATAAGATGGTTCAAATGATTCAACATTAACCTCCTGCATAAATACATTGAAATAGTTTCCTTTAACACTGGGGCATTTTTTTAAAACAATTTTGATTGAATTTTTAATGTCTAGAGTATATCAATAGCCTCAGATAATGGCTCTGTAAGTATTCCCGTTTCGATTCTGTTGTTGGCTAAGAAAGTTTCTCGGGATTTTGCAGCATGATTTCCTGGCAAGGAAAGGGTGTCTAGTCGTTCGACTGATATAAAAACCCGGGTCCATCCGTGTACATGTTGGCGTACACGTAAAAGAATGGTTGACAGAGCAAAATTTCAATCTCAGCACACTACATGGCGCATGCCTGTCTTTATTATGGTGGTTGTTATATATAACGGGGACAGTGCTAACCCCATTTCTTCATTCTATTTTGAAAAATGAATTGCATTCCAACAAGACCTGGCCCGAAATCACAAAGCATTCTCAGACTTAAAGGACAATATTGGTGTCAGTCATTCTATTTTTGAATTGTGAGATACCCTCTCACCGTCCCATATAATAACTTTTCAACTTCAACGGAATTATCAGTGAAATGAAATTCGATCGTTTGTCTGTTACCGCTCGTTACTTCAGCCTGTCATGTTTGGCGTCACTTCTCGTTTCTTCACGTGCTTGTTACACATATCCCGTAGCAATGATCTCTGTGTTAAAATTATATTTGGAATGTCTTTAACCAGTTCTATCACATATGTAATAATGACTGACACCAATATTGTCCTTTAAGTTAAGAATTTACTCAAAATTGATCGCCTTATTTTAATTAAAATATAGCGCTTTATAAAACTTTTGTTGTTTTAATGTATTAAATACAACAAAAAGAAACTATGTGCAAAGTTTTGTATTTCTGGATCAAAGATATTTTTCATAAACAGTGATTGAAAGTTGAGTAAATTCTTAACGTAAGTCTAAGGATGCTTTGTGAACTCGGGGCCTGGTAGGTAGATATCAATATCATAAACTTATTTGGTGTATAAATAAATTAAAAGTTCTAGTGAATTTCTTTTTATATACGACTTTCTTGGTGTAATGTAAACGAACTATACCTTAAATTGAAACACTTGTGTTGATTTTGTGGAACCCTGTAGAATGTATGGTCTTCTGATACCATGTGATATCTTGTTAACAGTCACGTGCACAATACCTAGTATTGGTCTAGGTGCTCTACGCGTCTTACATACAAGTCTACAAAACAAAAATAAAATACTATAATTGACATTCAATATCATTATAATTCTATCTTTATCTTCCCGTCTTTATTAGCCCAGTCTGATCAGAACAGTGGGACGTTAAACTCCATTTCATTCCATTCATTTCTATCTTTATTTCGTATACAATCTAACATTATGTTCAGAGCGATTGGTCTCCTTGCAGCCGACTGTTTAGTGTTTAGGGTTTATAAAAGGAAGGATAGAGAATTGAAAAACATCTGATTTTGATCAGATTGTTTCTTCCAGCGAAATTCAATTCTGATGTCATTTGAATGTTTTAGACTGGTTATATGAGTTTTAAAAAAAAGTATAGATGGACAACCCTTATGTAAATTTTACACTACAATTAGAAATTGCCTCAAAATTGAATTTGCATCACCTCCGATGAATTTCATATACATGTATAATGTATTGAACGTTTCTTGTAAACCGTTATATATAATCAGCTATCTGGACACTCTTCAAAGGGTTTCAGAAACTTAATTCTAAGCGAAATATATTCAGAAACAATATCAAAAATGAAACTAACTTTTTAGTACTCCACTGTTTCAATGTACATACGACGTCAGCTACAGTTATATCTATATCTACTTTGTTAGAATCCTCATCCCAGTTAAAATAATCGCCATATATCGTGACAAGTGTTCCTCCACATGTAGGACCATCTGTTGGGTGAATCTAAAAAACAACGGTTAGGGTTTGAAAATTATAAAATAATAAAGCTTTTGCTTAAGCAGCAATAAGGATTGTTATACAAATGGCCATGTTTTATTCATACATTTTAAGTTTCATAAGTTTTATTTCCGTTTCCAATCCTCTCCTAAGAAGGGTTCGGGCAGTGCGGTAATTTTCTAAAATTCAAGACCAATCGATTCTAACGCTTGTAGAGTTGGCGTAATTACTTACAGATTGTATAACTGGAGGGCATGACGTAGTGGAAGGTTTACCGCTTAACTGTTGACATTCATCTGATCTTAAACACCGACCATTGCACCATCCACAGCCATTAGGATCTCGAATTGATAAACACGCACTACACGTTTTATACATGGAACAAGATGTTATGTTAAACTCTATTATCTGTTTGAATATAAATAGGATACTATATGTTAAATTCTATCATATAGTTGAATATAAGGTTGTGTTAAATTCTATTATCTACTTGATTATAAATAAAATAATGTGTTAAATTCTATTATCTAGTTGAACATAGATTATATGTTAAATTCTATTATCTAGTTGAACATAGATTATATGTTAAATTTTATTATCTAGTTGAATGTAAATAAGATTATATGTTCAATTCTATTATCTAGTTGAATATCAAGATATTGAAATCTATATATACATGTATTATAGTTGAATGTAAAGACACTATATTATGGTAAACTCTATAATCAGGTTGAAAATAAAATAAAACAAAAAGATCTTCAATTCACCTTATTGTTTGCTAGTGTATATAACAGAGTCTCGTTATGTAAATACATAGTCTCCTGTAATCCTATATTACCCTCAGTTACATTCATGGAGAAATATTCCTGTTTCCTGTCACGAAATCCGGACACCAATACCTTCAACGAATAACATGCTTGTATCAAAACTACCATTAATAAATGATGTAGGATGGGTTATCAATTGTACGGAAAGAGGTTTGCTTTTAGTCGAGACAGTATCACTGTTAGTTGCATAGAATTAGGGGTGCGAGTTGTTCACCTTGAATTAACCCTCTTTATTAACTCATATTCATGGGCACTAATATCCATACGTTAACTGAATTATTTAACTCCTTTAAGCAAAATCAGCTATCAATAGTGCGGTAAATTACAAGCGGTTCAATATTTTGGGCTAAATTGTTTAGACAATATTAATGCCCTGTTTCTGAGCACTAGTATGTCCTGTGTAATCCGAGCTTGCTTCTTTAATTTCAAAACCCAGAGGCTGTATGATCGCATGCCCCTACCCATCAGATATTATTGCGACATCTCTTTGTGGTTTACTGCTCTTGAGTATATATCATATTTACAGATTTTGAATTTAATTTTAAAAATATTCACCTTTTTAATATGTCCTGTAGATGTAGCTAGTATAACTATTGGTTGACCAGACTGTGTTACAGATACAAGAGATCGTATCGTGGATTCCAGGTGATAAAATGATACCTTATTCAAATATCCACCACCACTTAATCCTTGTTGTGTAGGTCGACCACAGTCTAGTGGATCGGATCTCTATAGATTTAAATATACATAGTAAATGATTATTAGATGCTAAATTATATTGATAATCCACTAACCCTATAACTATTTCTAAAGCCTAACATGCCGGAATAAAGGTTTCATGATTAGACCAAACCTAATCAAAAGTATCTTTATCTTTAACCGTTTTGATCTAGACGTTATTTAGACTGTTGTTGTAATACTTTCAATAGTACATCATAAAACCTACATGCAAGGTGAACAGGTATATCTTGTGTAAGTTTTTAGTCTCTGCTCATAGTTTGACCATAAGTCATTGGATTTTTTTATGTATGTTACCATTTTTTGTTTTGTTATGTCTCTTTTTAAATCAAAGCTATCTACAGCTTATATTTGATATGGGTTGAGACAGGTACAAAGTTATTAGAACTTACAGAATTCAACTCGCACTTTTTAGGCTTTGATGACATCCAGAATGGTTGGTAACCTGTGGCATATTTGAAACATCTTTGGAACATCTGAGTGAAGAAGTTATTCAGTTCTGCTACAGAAAAATCACAAACGGTAGATCCTTTGTCTAGGTCTTCAGACGTCCTGTTTCCTTGAACCCACGAAATATACAAATGACCGTCACTCATGTAGGCAGATGTGGCCTTTTTGTACACACCAAACAACTGAAAACTACAGCGAAGCTCTATTTCAACATAGGAATAATATAGTTTATCATCAGAACATATTCTTGCTAACTTCGTTTCTATTTGGTTAGTGTCTGGGTTTTCTTGTAACAGCAGAAAATATGAAAATTGTCCGTCATTGAATCCATAAATGGGCTTCATATAAACCGATTTCTTAATCAAAGGATCAACATTTAATCCTGAAAACATATGTACAAAACCAGTCTTCATCTCAAAAGCCATAGGGATGCCATATTGGTGCCGTTTGCTTCTTACTCTTCTTGTTGAAATAAAATCATTAGTTTCATTTTGATAACCATTTACTGGTTGCATGACTAGCAGGCATCGTCGACAGCCCTTAACACTATTTGGAAGCACAATTGTAGTTTCATTGCTACCCAGATAGTTTGTTGGCTTTTCGGAATCCAAGGTTGTGAAGACACTGATATTCTTTAAGCTGTGCCACTTGCACAATCCGTGTTTATGCGTTCCACAAGATAAAAGTTTTTTCGTTTTTGCGTGAACTAGCAGCAAAGAAATGTCATCATGGATTGAATCATCGCCCTTTGAGTTATTAAAATAAAACTGATATTTAAGTCGTAAATCTTTATCAAGTTGTCCAATAATTTTTGAACCACCAAAATACAAATCTCCAGTTCGGTTATCAACTGTTATGGTCTTTAAAAGTGTTGTACTTTCTATTGTCACTGTTCTGAGATAATCATTTATTCTTGAAGCAGCACATATGGTGCTTAGATACCAGAAAGATACGAGCAAGAGATGAGTTGTTGCTCTCATACTCTTTGTTTCATGTACAATCTACAAATTTAATCAAATACAAGAATATTACTAAACAGAATGAAAAAAATAAATAAATAAAAAAATTCTATAAAAGAAAATAAGGCAAATTCTGTAAAACTAAATAAAGAAAATTCTATAAGATAAAAGAAAATAGAATTCTACAAAACAAATAAAAAGTAGAATATACCCCATTTTATGTCCATTTTATGTCCATTTAATTTTAAAAAAGTATAGTTAAACAATTTTGCTTAAGCACAAATGAAACAAAAAAAACCCCCCACAACAAGCAAAAGTAAAACTTACATGGACGTTTTCTCAATGAAAATTATAGCTATACGTTAACAATCACTTATTATTGTAATATTGAAATATGGAAATCTTAAGATGTTTGTCTGTTTATGTGAAAATTTGATCAACACTAATGGTTTGTGCAACCTACGTTAATTTTGATAAGGGGTCGTTTCAAAATTCTGGCATATATTCAAAGTATATCTGGTCGGTCGCCGCCGCGTCCGCGCTTTTTCAACTCTAGACTATGATCGAATTTTTTCCCTAACAAACTCAGTGTCACAATTTAATTCAAATAATTAGCAAATTATCTGAAATGATCTAGTTTTGCATATTTTCACGTAAATCATTTTTTTTACAGATGTAATGAACACCCTTTATAAAGCACACATTTCTCGGGGCTAAGCAGCGTGGGTAATAGGTAAAATCTATAGTTTATCCAACAAATTAAAATACTGTAAAAGGGTTAAAATGAACGTCGAAATGCACACATTAGCTTCATTAATTTATTTATTTTCAAATTTCGCGAATTATTGTTCCCAGGGCAGGTGGCGTAAACCTTCTTTTGTTCGCACAGCCTACGTGAACGAAGGAAACCCAGGGGTTGGACAGGCGACCCTACTCCTTGGCACGGGGAGGGGGGGGGTTACTCAATGACAGACCTTATGATACAGCGCGTACGTGCTAACCATTCGGTCACCCCCATCCCCACCCCCACCCCCTTGAAAAGATATAGAGTCATATGATAGTCCTGAAATGACTAATTTTGTGTCGAGTGGAAGTTATGCCCCAAAATCCCGATTCAAGTATCTTGTGAGAGTCCCCCTGAGGAGATTTGCCATATAAATATATTGAAAAGGGAAATAAACAAATTTTGTGAAAATCTCCAAAAATTAAACTGAACGGAAACGCCAAATCCAGTTGAAGGGCCCCAAGTTCAAGAAAAGGGACCCAAAGTCCAAGAAAAGGCACCCTCTTTGTCAAGTAAGAAAAAGGACCCTTTGTTTTCATGACAAGGCTCTCTGTGTTTGTGTCCAGTAGTAAGGTCAAGAGCCATGCGTGTGACCCATCATTCATTGCATCTTCAATAGAAGGCTTGATCTCGCCTTAACTATACGTACATCTTATCAAGCGTTGTAAAACTCGCGGTCGTTGCTTCAGGAACATGCATTCATTAGTGCACATAGGCCAAGTTGTTTTTTGTTATCTCTTTTCAACACACTGTGCGCTGAATTCGATGTCTGGATGTTCGTAGGCGTTGGTATGATGGGTGCATGCTGATATCAATACCCATTAATATATGTTTTTATCATTAAGATCTTGGTTCCTTTTGATAATTATTAACATTAGTGTTACTTTGCTCTTATTTTTTGAAAAAATTTTCACAAGTTGATTTCCTTTATTTTGTTAATGTAGAATGGTAACGAACTGCTCTTTTCATTTTCTTTGTTTTATTTGTTTCGTTTGAATTTGATTTATCTGTTTAGTTTTTGATTGTTTAAGTTTTGTTAATGAAGTTGATTCTTTTAAACTTCGTTTTTATTTTTGAACTCTACTTGGTGTAGGTGTTCATCAGGTAATACCTCGACTGAGTTCAATATTGAGATTAGCCGGTTGATTTGTTGGATATAAACCTTTGAATAATAGCGCCTAACAGGCAGCTGTGTTTAATTATGTTCTCCTGATTTTGATTGTTTCTGTGTGTTTGAAGTATATGTTTGTGATATGCGCTTAGAAACACTTCACGTGTAATGAAGCGCTATATAAATCGAACAATAATAATTAAATTAAAATTGACTTGGATGAAAATTATAAAAAACAAATTATATTAAAATTGATTTGGGTGAATATTATAAAAATCAAATTATATTACAATATTACAAATGCCTTGGGTGAATATTAAAAAAAATAAATGATGTTATATATTTTTCATGTCCCTTATCAGCCACCGTAGGCAAGGAATGACGGCTTGTCGTTTGGATAGTATAACGGAAAACCTGGGACCCGCGTACTTTTATTTTCACGTTGTCCACGCCAACAATAAGCATTGCACAAACAGAAGTCGGTCTGTCAAATAAAATAAGATCCTCCAACCATAAATTGCACTTAGAAATTAGAATTATTCTTATAGACGACACCAAATATCAGAAAAATAAAGCTAAAATAAGCTACTGCATTTCTTGTTGTTTTATCATATGGATATTGGCTTCACAGTTATATAAAAAAATAGCATTTGTTTTTATTGATTCATTGACATCATTGACAAATAATCCATGCACGATTATAAGTTTCAATTAATCAGGTCTAATCATGTATTCGCGATACTGTGACAGTCATAATTGAAACTTCTTCATAAAATAAAATTCCATACGAATATGTGACTTTCGTCGAAAGCCTGTTGCAAGGAAAGAGAAATAAATATGTCATTTTGAAATCTTCCCGTAAAGTCTAGTGCATGATAGACGCCTATCGTCTTCCTTCCGTCCGGTATAGTATCGTCATATTATTGGTATTAGACGCCTGGGATAATTTTGTTCAATAATACATTTTCATTATCCGTCAGTAAAATCGTGTCAGTAAAAATGTACGCTTTGGCCAGAAATTATTTATCGTTTTACCGAACATATTTCATTGTCCTTAAAGGGGCATTATGGGAGATTAGATAAAGAGCTGGTAGTTCTCGGTATTAATAGTTAAAAATAGATAACGTAAAGAGAATACTGAAAATTTCAGTGAAATTGCTTTACTCTGAACCGCGATATTAGCGATTAAATTTTAGGCCTAACGAAAGACCTGCAATAGGGGGTATGGGGGTGCGACCCCCCACCCCCTGAGTTGAGTCCATGCAAATTGGCCGATTTTCTTTTGCCTAGTGGGCCGATTTTTTTCCAGAAAACGGGCCGGTTTGTCGGAGTCTCTTACACATTCAATCAAACCAAAAGTTCGTATTGTCAAGTATTGGTTTAAATTACTCCGTGCTCATGAGTCGGGGGGGGGGGGGCGATTTAATGATATGGTGGGCCGATTTGATTTTCTAATGCTGTTGGGACGATCTTTTGATGACCCCCCACCCCACCCCCCGGACAATATGTTTGTGCGCCCCCTGCAGGCACCCGTCGGTTGCATGTTTTATTAAAATGAGTTTTGTATTGAAGCGCGGGTACGAGTAGTAAATCACTGACATTACGGTGGTTTTTGTCGGTTTTTGAAAATTTCGCAGATTCGGCTGTATTCATAATAAACTTTAGTAATTATCTGTCCTGATTTAATTGACTTTTGTTTTAAGAATGTATTACCGATTATTTTTGCTTTAAAGCTCTACGTATTTCTTAAAGCGAAAACATGTATCACAATGTCATTCATATACATTAAACAAACTCTATTTTTTATTCATAGTAAGCATATTACAGATTATCATTTGGCATATCGGTCAATTAGGAGATATCTGCTTGAATCTGTATAATCTTTGCAAAGTCTATCTTAGCGCATCACTAAATTCTATAGTATTGCCGAAGAGCTGTTTTCTGGGGGGTTGTGGCTTATTCAAAGACTAACGACGAAAACTCAGATAAATAGTTAAAATTGTACTTTTAATAAACGAGTATCCAAAATTGGCTAACGGTCACAATAACGAGATAGGTATCGCTAGGGCGAGCCGGTTACCAGACTAAAATTACAGTAGAATATAGATAACATATATATACAAGCTTATATGATGAAAATAATTATATAATAATATTTGATCAGGGATGTTAAATTGTACATAGGAAACAGATGAAGATATCGACATACCAAGAACGCGTGTTAACTAAAATTTCAGTTAAAAGTATAAAGAGAGAGAGAGAAATGGGGTTTAAAGTCCAATCGACAGAAACTAGGTCATTTCGGGACTAACATATGGTTTAATTTTATTTCAATAATTCGCTTGCGCGTAGGGGTCTTTAGCAGTGGGAGGAAACCCAAACAGTTAAAAGACTTGAAAGATTAGTGAGATATCAATTCCTACATTGTTAACTATAATTACGTAATATATATCGTTATATTACGTAATTATAGTTAAAAGTATAAACCCAAACAGTTAAAAGACTTGAAAGATTAGTGAGATATCAATTCGTACATTGGTCAATTACTACCTTAACTAAAATTATATCATAAAATATTGGGACTTTTTCAAAAAATGTCAAAATTCCAAGGCACCAAAAACTAAGAAGATAAGTTTCTCGAAATACAAATTTTAATACCTCAATACAATAGAAATATACATATGGTTGCAAAACAGAAATATGCAAGCTTTACGACATTTGCAAATATGAAAATTACTATAATTTTTTAACATTCGGATAAAATAATTCCTTCCTGTTACCAACGAATCATCTGCGTAAAAAAACAAAAAAAGTATTTATTTCTAATTTTTTTTCACTTTTATTGGGATATTCTGTAATAGTTCTTCTCATTTATCCAAAAATTACTTTGGCAATAAAGAAATAAAATACTTTTTCGTGTTGATAACTATCTGCATTGTCATATAATTACCGTTGGAATTAGCTTTGATTTTAATTAATTCTTTCATTCAAGTGAAATTTTAATAAAAATAACCTTCTTATGTTTGATGTATCTTGATGATTTATTCCAATGCATTATGACAATGATTGTTCCTATATGATAATTATAATAAAGCTTTTAATGAGCAGTAACAGGATAGATTTTGTGGTAACAGTAAAGAACAAAAAAGTAACAGTATAGAACAATGCTACTGAATTGTTTACCATTAACATATATTAACATGAAAGATGAGAAATGATAGGCACTGGCATATCTTAGTCAGTATTGAAATAAAATAGAAATCTAAAACCTTTCTTAGTTGTTTACAACATGAGTAATGTAATGAAATTCTTTGCTGCAGTAACATGAAAGAAAACATAGTAACAGGAAAGAAGTTGTTCATCTTCTTTTACTCTCTGTTTATCTTTATCTACTCTCTGTTCATCATCTTCATCTACTCTCTGTTCATCTTCATCTACTCTCTGTTCATCATCTTCATCTACTCTCTGTTCATCTTCATCATCTTCATCTACTCTCTGTTCATCTTCATGTAC